CCGAGTATTCAGAGATATCAATATGTTATAAAGTCATTAGGTTGTTTTGAAGCAGAAGACATGAAAAAAAAAAAAAAAAAAAAAAGGAATAAAGAGAAAATGAACTTCCTCGATAGCTGATGGTGCCGAGGATTGATGGAAGCCGAGTCCCCGTTTCTCTGAAGTGTTTTCAAGCGAAAACAGATCGCTGTGTACTTCGAGAGAAGATGAAAAAAAAAAAAAAAAAAAAAAAAAAATACAGAAAGATTTTAAAAGAAGAATGTAAGTGTTTTATTTTTTAATGTGTCACGTAATTATTACTTAATAATTCAAATTTATATTTTAAATTGCTAAAGTATGCTAGTATGTTGATAATGTTTACCGACTTACGATAAATAGCGATAGTTTGGGAACTTTTTTCAAAGGAAGGCGCGAAAGCCATTAACTTACACCCGATAAGTAACACTTACCTTTTCATCTGTAAAATTTGCTAGATTGCGCAAACGTGTTTGCGTTAATACGTAAGTACCTAACTTATTTCCCTGTATATCGTTTTGATATATAGTTATTTCTTTGTATATCAAGAGAGGTGGCAAATTGAGGGATCGTCCCGAGCGGCAAAAGTTTTAACCATGCCACTGTTTTCCCATTAATGAGATGGATGACCTTGCCGATTTTTGCTTAGTTGTTCTATGTTTGAATGTATGCTGGTAATAGCATTTCAAACTGTTTTAGTGCTTTGTTGGTAAAACTAGAGTGGGAAGTCCAAAGGTCGGCTAACTAGAAATAAATTTCAAATACATGTAGTCTTGAAGAAAGAAATGAAAAGACGTTTGCCATGTCTGATTTCCAAAAGTAAAAATGATAAGATGATTGTCATGTCTTATTTCCACGCTATGATTTTCAATTAATTTTATTTTTGAACTTATAATTTTTTAAAATCTAGGAGAAATGCAAGGCCAGAAGTAAAATTTTTTTATATTAATATTGTCTACAATCAAATTTTCCTATTTTTGGCATCATTATATTACACTACCACTGCATTAATCATTTCTTTGTGGTTTGATAAACACCCAATTCGGACAGTTGTTGCCATTCTTCACAGCCCTTTTTTAACCTACTTCTTAAAATTACACTACTGTTCTTTACTCATGTAACACCGAAGCTGTTAGCAATATTTTGCATTAGAATTCAGGATGTTTCAAAAGTGACGCATATCACACTTTCAAAAATTGTGGAAATTCCAAAATGGATATTAATGGTTAATAATTAGAATGCATGACACCCCTATATAGCTACAAGTAATCCATCACTTGAAATTTTAGTTGCAGCTTATGCCATTAGCTATAAAAAATGTTTGATGCACGATGTAAATGAGTGTTCCCAAACAAAAAGAATTGTTACGATTGAGCCTTATTTCGCTAGATATTTTTACAGAAACGTTGTTGAAGCCTTTAAAGAAACTTTCTTAACATGCTCGTAAACCTGACGATGATTTTCCACTTGATGTCCTGATTTCGAGAAACTTGAAGTGTTCATTGTAAGAAACGAAGTACTTCTTTGACTTCGAACAAAATGGGCGAAATTAGGAATAAAATAAGCACACCAGCAGCAAAACACTGGGAATTCAAACCGGGTTCAAATACTGACGAATGGGAATTTTCGTGTTTTTCAATATGCATGACGTGGATATGAGGCAGTTTTTCTTAAAACGTCCTCCACGAAGGCATCTTTCTCTCGAGTTACTTTGCTTTTACCATTTCACAAAAGCCAGTGGTCTCAAAATCAATTTGCATGCGGGCCCATCAGCAGCCCAGCACTAAAGTAGCTGAACACTGGTAGTTCAGTACAGGCTTCGAATCTTGGCAAAGGGCTGGCTGGATGGACATTTTCGTTATTTCCTCCATGTGTAAAGTGTATACGAGACCGTTTTCTTTAGAAAGTCCTCCACAAAGGTATCTTTACCCATAGGCAGGTAACCCTTGATACTTTGGCATAATCAAATAAACATAACTAAACTGCATGCGGGCCGAATGTACGATCTGAAAACAGCTGACGGGCCACAATTTTTTTTTTAAACCAACTTAAAATATTTTATTAGCAAAATAAAAAATATTTGAAAGAAATATTAAATTTCGCTTACTAAATATTTATTAAAATATACGTAAGTGACAATACTGGAAAATTATTATTCAAATTTATGTTTATTTTCTGTCTGAAACCTAAAGCGTGTACCTGTAAGACATTTTTGTTGGTTACACTTTCTTATTCAAATATATTTTCAGCTAAATATTAAATTTTCAGACTGTTATTTATTTAAAATACTTTTAACATGTATAATTAATCATTAAATAATTAGCTTTAAACTAAAGTGCATTATGAAAACTTTCTAAGTTTTCAGAAAAGCTTTTTTACGCAGGACAAAACCTGAGAATAAATAATGAAAATTTAGTCTCTTTTTCTCATTTATTAAAATTTTCTTCCACGTATAAATGAAAATATATACATGTCTGTGTGTAAGCAATCATAAACTTTTTTAGTTCGTGCTATAGATTGGTACTTGATACCATATCGATTATGATAAAATCAGTAACATTGGAAAGAATTTACTAGAAATTATCTTCATCACGGATTGTAAATGCTCATCTGTCAATCTTATATCAATAAATGCATTCCCATACGAAGCGATTATTTTTAATGCAAAAATGAACTTATTTATTTTTTGATAAATACGAATAAAAGTTAATCAACTCTGTATCTTCAATTCTTTGAACAAATTTTATATCCCACTGTAAATTAATTAACTCCCTTTATTAGATTTTCCAATGGGTTATTCATGTTTAATTTTAATGGTAATGAAATGAATGTGAACTCGAACTTCAAACAACTAAAATTTTAAAATCACTGCAACCGAGTGTTTGCAACAAATAGAGAATTGAAATGTATTTGTGGGCCGCATAAAACATCTTGCATGCGTTCCACGGGCCGTCAGTTAAAGACCATTGACCAAACCTAACCAGGAATAAAATGCTGCAATCACCAACAAAGAGTATTAGAAACAGGGCATCGCAGTCAAATTTATGCGTTGCGAAGTAATGCTGAATCATAACACTTTGTTCTGCTGGTCATTTCAAATCTTGCACCAAACAAATGGTTTCTAAGCATAAACTGCAAATGACATATTACTTGTGTACTTATCATTTGAAACGATTTGTCAATTATATCCATTTTGGAATTTCCACAATTTTTTTAAGTTTGGTGTGATCCACTTTCGAACTCCCCTGCGTGGTTTTTACTCTACTTATGGAATTTTTTCCCGTTATTAGACTGATTAAAAATGCAGTATTTGATAACTGTTTAAAAGAAAAAGAAACAAGGAATTAAGAATTTTTTTCGTTAAAATGTGCAATACACGGGGAAAAAAGAAAGAAAGAAAAGGAAAGAGAGGTAAAAGAAGGAAGAAAACTCATCTTCCATGACTTAACTACAGCCAGCCAAAAAAAAAAAAAAAAAAAAAGACATACTTTTCCATTTATCGTATGACGAAATAATTTCACAAATTCGCGATGCATGTTAAAAACACAAAGACTACAGCAAGTTTACAGAAGAAAGGGAAATGGTAAACAGCCATTTATTCAATTATTCAAACAGCAGTTATTTTGAAATAAGTATGCTTATGATAAGAACCAGGATGACCCAAACACAGAGTGGCTTTCATGTGTAAAAAGACGCATCGCTTGAAAGATTACATAAGTTTTAAATGGACGCAATTCCTTCAGCTTAGCCGGAACACTAACAGGAACATCTTTGTTTATTTTTAAAAAACTTTAAAAAAATTCTGGTAGGGTCAGCAGGTGATTTTTTTTCTCTTCAATGTATCGAGAAACATATATACATTTATGCAGGTTCTTCAATATTTAATTTCTTTAAATATAACACAGGGCTCTAATATTTGGTGGCAACAATTTAAAAAGTGATTCGCCGTTTATGGTGAATCAACGCAAAATGCCAAAATTAATTGGAAGATTACGTAAGTTTTAAATGGACGCAATTCCTTCAGCTTAGCCGGAACCCTAACAGGAACACCTTTGTTTATTTTTTTTTCAAATTTTGGTAGGGTCAGCAGGTGATTTTTTTTTTTTTTTTTTTTTTTTTTTCTCTTCAGTGTATCGAGAAACATATATAGTACATTTATGCAGATTCTTCAATACTTAATTTCTTAAATTAAATTAAATGCCCTTCTGGACAAATTGCCCCTTTGAGCTAATAATATATTAAAAATACGAAAAATAAATAAAACTCGAGTTCCTGTAATCCGTTTCAATAAATTTCATTTTAAACATCTGAAGATTTGAGAATTTTAAACTCACAACAGAATTATTATCATGATTGTTTTATTTATTTATTAGAAAAAGGAAGATTAGAGAAAAACTGATTTAATGTTTTCTATTGTTAATCCGATTAAAAAACATTTTTTTTTTAATTATATTCTTCCGCTTTCAACAACTCCAGACTCTTTTTAACCAACGGAAAATACTTAGAAGCATCTAAATCTTGAATCATTTAAAATGATATATTATTATGACATTTTAATTTCAATAAATAATATTCAGATAAAAAAAAATTAATTCGTTTAATGTATTGCGAGTTATAATTATTAAAATAATGGTCATTAAAAATAAAGAATTTTAATCATCAACTCAAAAACTAATTTAATTAAAAAATTAACTTTTATTAAAAATAAAGAACTCCGAAATTTCCTTAAAGAAGTGATTGGAAAACAATCAATTCTTTGTTAGAGAATAATTCTGATCAAGGTTTGTTACACTTATAAAAGCAAAAACATCCCTCTGCTTTAAATACGTACAAAGTAATTAGTTACAAATATTGTAGGAAAGGTAAATAACAATTATTCTAAAAAAATTAAAGGGCATATTGTTCTGTAACACGTGTTTCAAACAAAAAGGAAATTGGCAACAAGTGATTGCTATAGTAACGAAGAAAGTTGAAATGTACACTACCTTAACACAATCCGATTGTAGCAATCCATGCTCTGTGCATCGAAGCCAATTGGTAATATTGTTAATTAAGTCTTGGACACATGATTTCATGTCGGAAACATTGACAAAATCCGGTGGACCAGGCCCAAAAAGCCGCATCATATTCCCGTAAGCTAGACAGTGAAAACTGCACGCAGTCAATATTATCAATATTAAACAGGGACCGACCATCACCGACGACGCCATGTTTAGCAATGCCTTAAACCGAATGGAAGCAACGAGCATCGTACTCAGGTTGCAGTTGGCGCCGAATCAAGTCAAACATGTGACTCGTTAATCCGTTTTGCGCATGTGCGAGCTATGACGTTGAATAGGAGCAAAAACGCCGCCTCAAAGCTTCGTTTTTGTTTCACCCTTTTTTATTTTTCGCCTTTCGGTACTTGTCAGCATGGTTTTGCTTTGGATGCGGGGGTGCTTTCCAACCATGGAGGTAAGAAAGGAATTCCTACCTCCATGTTTCCAACCTTTTTCGTCCCTTTCCTAAAGCCAGTGCCCGGTATCTTACGTCTCTAGGCAAAGGAAATTTAGGCCCATGTAAAAATATTATGTACATCGTGAATTCCTAAATATTTTTTACAGTCGTTCGCTTCAAGGATTTTTTAATTTTTTATGGAGCTTTTTGTACTTTTAATTGAATAATTATGATAAAATGAGGTTGCTTAATGATATCACTTAGTTCACGACTATTTTGATAAGATTAACTGAATGATAACATTAAACACTGAGAAAAATATTTTTCAAAACAACAATGGAATTCGACTAATTTCATAGAAATATAATTAGAAACATATAAATAGGGATTTTCACAGCATTTTTATTGGAAAGAAAAGACAAAAATGATGTTTAAATGATGATTTTGTGGTTGATTGATGATGATTGTTTGGTTGATGAATGATGGCTGTTATGGTTGATTAAAATCGAAACCAAGCGTTTGGTGACTTATTCCGTTACTTGGCGACATTTCTGTCACTTTCTCAAGTTTATAGTCTATTTCAACTTTATTTGGCGACTTTACAGTTCAAACAAATTTATTCTGCAGTATTTCAATCTTATTAACCAAATTTTTGTCCCAATAAGCGATGTATTTTCTAGATTTTCGTATAGAAAGGGGCGGGATTTCAACAATTCGATAACAATATCCGAATGTTAACATTAACCGTGATCAAATTAAGCGACGTCTATGCGAACCAGAGGGGGGGAAAAGAACAAGGAAAAAAAAAAGAAAGAAAAAAAAAAAAAAAAAAAGAACCAGGGAAAAAAAAAAAAAGCTTCTTGGGTTGTTAGATTTTTAGATTACAAATATCGCATATTAATTTTACAAATTCTGAAACGTAGAATTTGCAAAAATAATATGAAATACATGTAGTCTTAAAAACTCCAATAGTTTTCTTTGTTGTTGTTGTTGTTGCTATGCTGTATTAACGGTTCAGGATTCGTCAAAATGAAGGAAATAAAATTTTTATGAATTGGATTCTTCGAATTTTACGCAAATTCAACTCAAATACTTCGATTCCAATAGATTTAGCATTGCAGCGGTTTAGTCATTAAATAAACTACATATCTCAATATTTAGAAAGAAATAATGTTTTGAAAGAAACCCACTCCCTCCCCCCATTCACATGTAAAAATAAAGGAGAAAAAATGAGTTAATGGGATTTTTTTTTATTATTTAATTTACAGTATTTATTTTTTGTTTCATTTTATATTACACACATTACATTCTAATTTTGCAAATTCTATATTAGTTCAACAGTTATGGAGAACGAAGAAAATAGATCATTTTCTGAAACTGATTCTGCAAATTCGATGGTAATCGAACGCAATCATTCCGATTTCAATAATAACTTTTTCGGCAACATACTTATGTCGAAATAATGTTTAAATAAATCACATATCTCAAAATTTAGAAAAGTAGAAAATTTCAAAAGGAAATCTTTAATTCCATTTAAATTTTCAGTCACATAAAATATAAAAATAAAATAAATCTAAAATAAAGAAAAAGAAAGCTAATGAAATATTTAGATTGTTTATTACACTAATGTTTGTGAAAATTGTAACACCATGAAGGAATTATCAAATCGAACCAAACTTACAGGAGATATAAGGTGAGGTAAGACATGCAAATGATTAGAATTACAAAGCGATTGTGCATACTTGGAATGAGAACCGGCCATTTATTCCATGTACATATTGGACCGTAAAATTGCGTTTAAATCTGTCTATCGCCCTCTGTTTGAAACGAAATTTAATTAATAGTCAGTATGCCTCGTCAACAGCGAAGAGTGCCATACCAACAACTAACGGAGTTCGAACGAGGCGCATTGGCGGTATGCCGAGAGGGTTGACTTTCGTATCGAACAATCGCAGCACGCACGCAGCGTAATGCCACAACAGTGATGCTTATTTGTAAGAAATGGCCAGAGAAGAACCAAACATGGCGAAATACTGGCAGTGGGGCATACAGTAGCACAATGCCACGGGACGACAGACACCTCATCTGGCTGTGATGAATCGTACAGCATCCTCTTGCGTGTTAAACACAACGTTGGAGCATGGCTACAGGTGTTGTGTCGTCTAGCTCCACGGTTCATCGCCGTCAGCTGCAACATGAACTAAGTGAAAGGTTTCTACCAGAGATTCTCCTGTCGCTGAACCACAGACGCCTCCGACTTCAATGGCCACGGCAACCCAGTGAGGGGCGTGCCCTGTAGCAAAAAGTTGTTTTCTCCGATAAATCTCGCTACAGTCCGGAGTCATGATGGAAGAGTACGCGTCAGACGTTACAGAAGGGAACGTCTGTTCCCACAGTGTTTCATCCAGCGTCACACCGCACAAACGCCTGGCATCATGGTGTGGAGAGCTATTGGGCATAATTGTCGATCCCATCTAGTGTAGATTGCGGGCAACCTCAACAGTGATCAATACATAAGGGAAGTTGTGAAGCCAGAGGTCTTTTCCATTCTTCGACGCATTCCGGAAGCTGTATTTCAGCAGGATAATGCCCGTACCCATGATTCTCAGACCGCATAAGCCTTCTTTAGGGCACAATATGTTTCGCTGCTTCCATGGCCTGCTTATTCCCCAGATATGTCACCCATTGACCATGTCCGGAATTTTATCGGTCGGCGACTCGCTTGTGCAACTCATGGGGTACACATTAAACCTGAACTTCGGTGTCAAGTCGAAACTATATAGAATGCCATTTCCCAGGGATTAGCGTGGCAGACACACAAAGTACTGATTTCCAATGTCCGTTTTGCTTTTTTTTGCTCTTTAAATCTGACAGTTTATTTGTACCACTATGAGTAATATGTGGAACAAATTTCATTCATTTCCGACAATTCCTTCATAGTGTTGCATTTTTCACAAACATTAGTTTTTTATTTAGACTACATATATTTCATTCTAATTTTATATATCTGTCGTTAATTCAACATTTGTCCAAACTGAAAAAAAAAAAAAAAAAAAAAAAAAAAAAAAATAGTGAAATCTCTGAACTAGATTCTCAGAATTTCATGGAAATTGAGCAGAAATATTCCAGTTCCAATAATAAATTTGGCCTATAACTTTATTACGTAGAAATAAGGATTTAAAAAATCATATATTTCAGAAATTAGGAAGAAAGAAAACTTTAAAAAAAATCCAATTCTCTTTAATCTCTTTTCAAACCGCGCTCCCCCCTCCTTTTTATATAAATAAATAAAACACTATGTTAGCTTACAACCTTGAATAAACTATTTCGGTGTGAGAGAATTAAATTTGATGACATCGTCGCAGATGTTTGATTTACTTTTGATTATTTAAATTTTTATGAAAAAAAGCTTAAAATAAAATTAAATGAATATTCTCTTCTTTTTTGTATAATAGCGTAACTATTTACGTATGATATCAAATTAATTTTTAAATTACGTATTTACAATTTAGTTATTTATCAGATTAGTGTTTTTTATTCACTTTTCTATTAATCCTGCTATATCGACTTCTAGGGGGTCTGTCATTTATTCTGGAGACTCTTAGTCTATGCAGAACAATCAGAGAAACCTTCCTGAAGTAATCTCTAATGATTTAATTTCTGAAATTATGAGTTCCAGAACTCTATGATAGAAATGGTAAACAAAAAGTATGTAAATAAAATTACATTAAACAAAACAAGAGATAATGACAGATTTAAATTACCGTACTTCCAAGCGTATTTTTTCCTAACTTTTCAATGCAAGATTCTGAAAATTTAAAAAATATTCGCATCATTTTTCCCTTCCTCCGTGCGTTCAAAGAAGAAGCTCCCCTAAATTTTAAAATGGCTACGTCCCCATAGTGATTGAGTGACTGCTTTCGTCTTACTAACAAAGGCAAACTCTCATAAATCACCTGCGAAAGTCACTCCGAAACTTTTCCTTCAAACTATTGCACTTTATGTAAGCTTAATGCAAAACCCGACCAATCCTAGCGAATCAAACACGACTAGAGTCGTAGAGTCCGTCTTTCCATTGAGTTTGCTTCACATTCACTTTTAATTATTTATGGATAATTTGAGGCCTGCAGAGTACCAGAGACAACAACAAGAACGGGCCAAACTGAAGTTACAGGGAAAGAGAGATGAAGATACCTTCTTAGATATTGTAATGTTAATGTTACTTATATTCTTATAGGAATTTAAGCTTCACTTAAATAATATTGTGATAGTTACATGTAGTTTATCAGTGATTCCTTTTCATTAGTCATAATTTTATTGTGACCGCGTCCTTCGGAAATTAAATGATTCGCATAATTTTTCCCTCTCGAGTTTCGGACGATTCAATTAGTTAAAAAAATCTGATATGAACACCACATGACTTCTTTTTACATCCCCTTGTACTTTCCTTTCCTATTAAGTAATACATATTTTTTGCTGTACTTCATTTAAGCTTATTTCCTTGAATTACTCTAATTTAATTAACCATCCCTCGTGACAAAATTAAAATCACAATAATAAAGCCTCAAATGTGTAAGCTTGCACTGTGATCTCTTAGCACTTTCAGTGCTATGAGCTCAACTCTAAACCCAGCTGTAAACTAAACTCAATTGATGCTATTTACAGTCATACATAATTTTGCCCCCACCCACCGAGAAATTTCCAGTACCTTCGATTTCTCGAAATTTCCGGAAGGGACACAAAATTTACAGTTACATAGGACCGGATACAGTTA